TGAGGACGTATAAATATTCTCAACATTTAATTTAAAAGAATTCTTACTGCATTAAATCTTAAATTATCAAATTTTTATTTAGTGAAATTCCATAAACCGGATTTTATAGTACATCGAATTTCAAATTAATTTAATTTCAATTTAACGGAATTTATGACAACAAAAATTCCATAAAGAACCATTTTTTAACAGAATTGTTATTATAGTAAATTTCGATTTATTGAAATATTTACTTAACAGAATTTTCATTTAATAAATCCACAATTAACAGAATTTCTATTTAACAAAATTCTTAATAAAAAAAAATTTTTCTTAAAGAAAATTTTTATTTAAACTAATTCTTATTTAGGTAACAGAATTCTCATTTAAGAAAAATTCTATTTATTTCTTTTTTGTCAATTTTTATAAACATAAATTTCGTTAAATTAAAATTATATTAATTTAAAAATTTTAATAAGTATTAAAAAAACACTTTTTAAAAGTTCTGCCGAATGGAAATTCTTTTAAATCGAATTTTATATAAATTTAAATTCTTCGATTCTCTTTTCTGCAAAAATTTTTTTTTTGGAAATTTCAAAATTCCGAGCAAAAAAATTAAAATCATTTTTAAAACGTCTAAAATTAAAAGTTTTAAAAAAGTAAAATATTTAAGTGAAATAAATAAACAAATTGAGGAATTTGTTAATTAATTACATAAGGCAGATTTTATAGTACTATTTAAGTAACATGATGTTTATTAATATTATAAATTTTAATATTTATATTTAATGAATAAAAAAAGTTGCTGTTAAAATATAATTATTTAATAATTTCATCGAATTTATAAAATTTGTAATCAATGAAGCAAATTTTTTGAGGTTAGTTTTTTAGAAAGAAAAATATTGATGAAAATATAAACATATAAAACTTTGTTTTAAATTTATAATTATCTAAAATGTATTTAATAATTATAACCTAGTATATATATATATATATATAAAATTTACTTACTTGAATATATCCGCTAAAAACAAAACGCCAAATTGCTGATTGCCGGTAGCCGGGTACAGTAGCGCACTTATTGTTGCACACAACAGGTAAAATTGAACAGTTGATCCAGATCCACTGACTGCACAATCTATACTGACGCTGACAGACTAACGCTCACTCCACATACATTACAGCACGCACGAAATGCATCTATAAAGCAGCACTCACATGCATGTAATTAAGGTACTTTTATGCGTGCACGAAAATGCGACACACGTTATGCGAGATACAAGCGACTTAAGAGCACGTAACTGCCGGCATTACATGTACTCATGTGAACTCTCAAATGTGACGCATTTTGTGACACTAATATGCGAATTCAATGCACGCAATTAAGGTACATTAATTCAGACATAAAATGCGACGCCTGACATGCGACTAACGTGAGACGCATGAATGTTATCTGGGAAGAAGTTGATTCAAGGATTTTCCTTGAGAAGTAGTCTGAGAGGCATTGAATACGACTCGCAGCTTAGTGGTGGGACTCGAATCGCGCAAGACTGGAAGGTGGGGTATAAAGATTCGAGTAGGATATGAAATTTTAATTGAATTTAGCTTTGACATATGTCCGAGATTTTCGTATTCTTCAAGAAAAGCGGAATAACCCTTTTTTAGTTGAGGATTCTTTTCTAACCTTTTTTCTAAGCGAAAAAAAGACGATAGAGCGTTCGAACGATGATCGCTACCTGCGGTTGGTAACGATTCGAATGGAAGATGGACGCCAAATTGTCCACTTGGCAAGCGATAGTGAATGCTTTCAAAGTGAGCTTCACACTCTTTTTCAGTTTTTGAGAGAGGGGCAAATTTTGGTACTTCTTCAATTGACCAAAAGTTCATTATACTTTCGTTGAGAGACGGGATAAATGCATGATGTATATTTACCGAAGGGAGATGCTGAAGCTCGGATTGATAAGGACCTGAAAGAACCCATCCAAACATCGTCAATTGGGCAGTGGGTGATCCAGGTGGGCCATGTTTAATACCGTTTCGTAAAATCGAACCATAAAGATCTGACCTAATTAGAAGGTCAATTCGTTCTCCGATCATGTTGCAAGGATCCGCGAGTTCTAAGCCGCGCAAATGAGCGAGATTTTGGTTCACGGCAAATCGTTTCGGAACATAGTCAGTAATTTTTTGAACGACAAGAGCTCTGGCACTGAGCACTTCTCCCGGCGTTACATGTGATGTAATTGAAAAATTAACCGAATTTTAAACATGCCCGGCATGCGCACCACCTATCCCGGAAATGGTCGTTGAAATTCGTGAGCGAGAAAGATGCAAAGCTTGCACTACTGATTCCGTTACAAACGAAGCCTCGGAACCCTGATCGAGCAGCCCGCGAACACAAATTTGTCGACCTTGATCTGATAAAATTACAACGCGAGCAGTAGCCAGTAAAATTGCTGATTTACTTTTTGAGTTCGGTATATTTAAATGTGAATTAACTTGACTCGTTGATTGAAGCTCTTCACTAGTACAAAAATTTGAAGTCAAGACAGAAGTGGATGGAGTGGGATCGGAAGGGGGTTGGTTATATTTTGATTTTTGAGTGTTTTCATTATGCAGTAGATAATGATGTCTGCTTTTACAAAGTTTACAATTTATCTTACTTGGGCAATTCGAAACAGAGTGATTTTTTGCGAGACAATTAGTACAGCGCTCTCATTGTTGTATAAATGCTTCGCGGTCAGAAATTTTCATTTCTTGAAATTGTTTACAATAATAAATTTTATTTTCAGCTTTGCATACAGGACAAGAAACTTTTTTCGATGTTTGATGTACGTGTACAGGATTTTATTTCGTTTGTTTACTCGAATTTTTAACCGATTTAGTTTCACTTGATTTTGAACAAATATTTATTGCTTCTAATGTGCGAATTCGATTTTGTAAAAATTTATCAAACTTTTCGTAATTCGGCATTTCATTTGAATCTCCGGTAAACATTTCCAATTCACGTCTCGATTGTTTGTCGAATTTTGAAGCTAAAAGAGTAACTAACCAGTCATGCCACTTGTCTACCGGTCGATTGACGGCTTTTAAAGTGTTAAGAGCAGTAGTTACAGTATCTCGTAAATTTTTCAAACTGTTTAAATAATCAGAAGTAATGTCTGGCAATTCGCGTAATTGTTGCATGCAAGTTTCGACAATGATTCTATTATTCTTATAACGAGTTGTTAAATTAGTCCACGCAGCATTGAAATTGTCTCCCGTTATTGCTAAATGTTGAACAACAGTACTAGCTTCTCCGGTTAAGCTAGTGATCAAGTAGTGAAAACGCTCGATATTGTCAAGAGAGTGATCGTTGATTACGAGAGAAGTAAATAATTCACGAAAATAAATCCATTCTTTGTAATTTCCTGAAAATGTTGGTAATTTCATGTGAAGTTTACTTAGCTTTGAACTATGCTGAATAAATGAAGCATCTCGTGGAGAAGTCGGTGTGTCATCGGGCATCTTCTCCAAGAGGAAATCGACAGCTTTTTCATACACCTCTGCAGTTGTGTTAAAAAGCTTCTGCCTGAAGTACGGAAGATCTTGGTCATCGGGGACACAATTTGCTTGAATGTTGATGTCTAGTTGACGACAGTGTTCCCATGTTTGGTTTAGGAGATTTAAACGTTCACGCAAGAATACCGTTGTCTATATTATACTTTCTTGCTCTAACAAAAGTTTTTTGATTTTCTTACTTGGCTCAACCATTTTGAATTTTATTTGTAATTAAGAGAAGCGGTATTTTGAATATTAGAATTAGTTATAATGTTTAATAGACATTATAATTTGATGATCAAAAAAATCATTGAGAAAATTTGATTAAGTTACTTTAATCCGAGAAATTTGAGTACAATCGAGAGTCAGGATTGTCATTTTATTTCAATGGTTGCGAAGATCCGCACAAAGCAGAATCGTTTCGATATGAAGAAACGAGAGAGAGGTGATGACAGTCGAGAAGGACCGCTGAACTTTTCGACAGCTTAGTGTGCGAAGCAGAGAGTGTGTCTATGAAGAGTAAGACAGAATTTGATGTAAAGAGTCCCACTGCGATTCATGAGAAGGTGTCGTGCGGGGAAGGGAACTTATCTACTGAGAAAGATAGTTCTATAGGGAAAGAAGGGTACACTGCTGCTTATGAGACGGTGTGGCGAGGGGGAGAGAGAGATTCAAGATAACACTCAGTGTTCTTGAGAGAGAAAAAAGATAGATGCTACAATATTCGCCAGCTTTAGTGTAAGAGAGGTAGCAACACATCAATTAGTTTATGAGCACTTTGTTTACAGTTTTCATTGCAGTTTAGATATAAATACACTTCAGTCACTTACACTCATAGTTAGGTTTGTGTGTTGCACTAATCACTCATTCGAATTTTCCGAACAATCCGAACTATCAGAATTATCCGGCTCGAAGGACCATTGTTCAAAATACTTAGTTTTGTGAATGTAACTTTTAACTAAATATTTGTATTTGTTGCTGGATGTCTTGAAGGGAGAATAAAACTGTTTGTTGAATGCAAATTTAACAAATAACAATGTGTTTATTCAACAAAAATGAGAAATTACAAAATTGAAAAGATTCGTGTTTAATATATTCGCTTCTCTCAGAGTTTCTGAGTCAACTCGCGTATTTAATCGAAAAACAGTATAAGCAATACATTTGAAAATTCCCTTAGAGGTCATCAGACAAGTTTGTAATACAGGGACGTAATAATATAAATTTCAAATATTCAACACCAATTAAAAAAAGGGGTTTTCTCGTCTTAAAATGTAGTTTCTAAATATAATTTTTATTTTGAAAAATTTTTATATTTAATAGATTTTTATATTATTTATTTATAAAATGTTATTAAAAAATAGTGTTCTTGACGTCCTACAGAAAAATAAATTTTTTTCTTTTGAATTCCCCACACAATTTTGTGTAAGAAACCGTTGAGAAAAAAAATGAGACAACTCTGGTCGCGCGTGCACGTCCCTATAGACCCTTTCACGAAATTTCAAAAACTTTTGGAATACATTCTAGAAAGGATAAAACAAATGTCGTAATTTTTTTTTCTCTTAAAAGTTAAGTTATCTTATAAAAAATTAGTTTATAAAATTTACCATATTCAAACGCGACGAAAGCGCGCGAAATCTCTCGTGACGTCACAGTTCAGTATCATGTTATAAAGGTAATGCGTTTACCATGGAGGAAAACAATAATAATGTTCTTACAAATAAAACCGGCACATATAAATATTGTTTTGTGCCTGAATGCAAAAACAGAAATATTAACAATCCTGCAAAAATATTTATATCTGTTCCAAAAGGTTCAGAAAGAAAAAAATGGATTAAAATTACTCGTCGTGCTCGAGAAACGTCTTTAAAATCAAGTTTATTTTGCTGTGAAGATCATTTTAAAGTAAGTATTGTAATATATTAATTAAAAGTAATTATATAAAATAACCTTATATTTTATAAACATTTGCCATTATTCTGTATAAAATAGGTTTTGTAAAGTTATAATTATCTTTTAATAGGTTAAGTGTCTATATGTGTCTACAAGTTGACAGTATATTTATTTATTATTGGATGAAAAGTTTTCTTTAGGAAACAACCATTAATTATTATTATTATCAATAATTATTTATTTATTAATAATATTTATAACCTTTGCTATTAAAATGTCTCAGATTTTGAGATTAAATTTCTTAGATTTTGTGGTTAGGTTCACAGAGAGTTTACTTATATATTTAATTTTATTATTAACAGTCGATATTTATGGTAATTATTTGATAGAAGAATATATCTAATAAAGCTCCATTTATTATACACATTCCATATTAATAGTATAATATTATAATAAAATAAATATTTATAGTTTTTACGTTTTTATTTAGTTTATCTAACATATTTTTATAGGTGGAAGAAGATATCGAAAATTATACTCGGGTAAAACTAGACCCTGGAGTAAGAATATTTTTGAAAAAAGGCGTGCTGCCACGATTTTTTAGTTGTCAGAAAGACAGAAAACGTGCATTTCCAGATGTGACTCGCCCTGGGGCAAAAAAATTGAAAAAAATACGAATCTTGGAAGATATAGAACAAGAACAAAATCAACAGTCTAATAATGATAATGCCAATAATGATAATGAACTTTCAACAATTACAGGTAATGAAAATTACCGTCAATTGCCGGCATTGCCCGTCAATGATACGAATTCTGCGACTGAACCCGTTGGTGACAGAAATCTTTCTTTCGAGTTACCCTCAAAAACTGTGAAAGATGTCGGTGTTCAAGTTTGCATTAAGATTAAATCGCATTATCGTAGCACTGGTATTGCAATCTTTATGAAAACAACTCAGAAAGGAAAAATGTAGCCTGTTCACCAATAAAACCAATAAATAGGTTTTCGAGAAACATCATGATCAACAAAACAAATTCGATGACGTCTAATTCACCAATCAAAAGTAATGATGGATTGCTTAGTTCGGAAGAATTTATAACCAGCACCCAAAGCAGTGACGAAACTTCTGCAGAAAAAATTCATCTCGTGCATAAGCAGCCTGCAGAAATGCGAATCAGTCGCATTTTAAAAAAACCTAAAAGTTACATTGGTGTGAACGAGGATGCTTTTTTTATCATCCGCATATTGTCGGAGGAATCAAAATGACTGTGCTGTTATGGCTGATCGAGGTTTCAAGCATATCGAACCTTTGCTAACGCAAAAAAATTGTACTCTTGTCAGACCCCCAAGTGTTTCTAGCAACAGTAAACCAACTAAGCTTGAAGTGATGGAAACGAAACGTATTGCAAGTTTAAGAATTCACATAGAACGTGTAATAAAAAGATATAGAGAATTTGCTTTATTGAAACCACACGCAACAGTCCCCATTCAATCATTAAATTTAATTGATGACGTTATTATCATTGCCTCTGCTTTAATAAATTTACAAACTCCTGTAATTGCTCAATTATGATGAAACAAAATACATGTAAAATAAATTTCGTTAATTATAAAACAACTGAAAAATATAAAAATAAAATGACAAAGCTTTAATACTGTAATTTTTATTTTTACAAAGTATATTAATTCCTTTTACGAAGCTATTAAAGAGCAGCGTTATACAAAGTAGGAAAAATATTTTTCTTCCAAAAATCCATACTTTTTTCTAAAAGGTCCATTATTAATAATTCATCAGACTGTACACTAACCATGGTAAAATTTTTAGTAACTTCAAAGTCATGGTGAGCAACGCAAAAGAAACCTCGTTTTTTCCCAGTTACAAACATTTGTAACTGAATTTGACCCAAATATTTCTTTGTTATTTGATTCGATGAGTTAATATAATTTTTTTTAGCTTTCGCTGTTGTAGGACACTTTATTTCTACTACAAAATCTGGTCCTAAAGCGTCAGGAGAAGCTCCAACTATTGGAAAATTCTTATTTAAAAAAAATCCACAATTTTCAATTTTAATATCTTTCATCCAATATTTTAATTCAGCAAGAACTTCTTTCTCAAGTTCTCGTCCTCTTTTCATTGCTGCAGTGTCTTTGATTTTCGAAGCGCCTATTATTTGTTCAATCAAAACGCCTCGTTCGGTTTTGCGGTGTGCAATTTCGTAGATTTTAGATGCTGTTATACGACCATATCGCAGTTCTTTCCATAATTTCAATTCCGCTTGTTGTTTTGTTTCTGCTGCTATTTTTTCACAAACAGAAATTGACAAAAATTGTTCAGAGAAAATTAAAAAATCATTAACGTCAACAAATCACGATGTAGGGTTTACTCCCAACTCTGTGTTCTGGACATATCCTGGCTTTAACAGTGCATAAATATCCTTCTCGTTTTACTTCAACATATCTAACAGCTTTGTCTCCATATTCTTCTCGTTTTGATCTTTATAATAATATAAATATTCATCTTATAAGATTATATATAATAAAAATATAAAATAAACTTATTATAGGTTAGGATTTTCTTGCTTATCCTTTTATTTATTTATTTAATTTATTTTGAATATGTTTTAACTTTATTTATATAATAAATATAAATGCAAAGAGAGAAAATAGTTTTGACATTATGTTATAGGTTATGATACTCTCATTTGCGGTTGTATTTATTTTAAATATGTTTTGACACATTATTTATTGCAAAAAAAATGTAAGTACAAATACAAGAAATTATTTTTAAAAATAATTTTAATAAAATTTATACATTTTTCATTTTAAAATAAAATATTTATCAAAAACAAGATGTTTTCACGTTAATCAACGTTAATACATTCGATTTCACTGACAAAACATGAATTGTGACGTCATACGCAGTTCAACCAATCACAGACCGTTTACTATGTTATTGTTAAAATCATGACTTTTTATTGAAAATAACATATTAAAAACTTTTTTAATAACAATTAATTAATATAAAAATATTCCTGAAGTAATCCTATGAAATATCCAAATATTCTTGCAACAATTCAAAAGAATAATAATCTTCAATAATAATCTTCTTTTCGATATTTTCATTCAAAGAAATATATTTTTAATGGTAAAAATATTCAATCGGACTGTTCTCAAAAACGGCTCTATAGATTATTTTGATTTCTTTGAGAAAAGTTTCTATTTTCCATATACTTTCACAAGAAAAAAAAAATTTTAACTGAGCAGAGACTTTTGCGTTGAGTCTGGTTAAGGCGCACCTTGTCAAATTTAAAAGACCTGTTGGAATTTAATGATAATAACGATGATGATGAATTTAAGGAAAATCTTTTTAAAAGAAAGCAGTAACCAAAAGAGTTAAGTGGAATAAAAAAATCAAAAGCTTTGGAAAATTAAAAATTGTTAAAAAAATATTCATTAAGGGGGAGTGACAACTTTGACCTTGTTTTTTTAAACGTTACTTTATAATGTGTAGAATAGAAATTATATCAGCAAAAGCAAAAACCGTGGTAACAATTGCGTTTTTTTACGCTCACAGCCGCTCGAAAGGCTGAAGATGAAGCCAATATTAATGTAGAAGGCCAATTATATGGTGCAGGCATCGCAGATTAACGTTGACTTCATTTTCTTAAAAGTTTTCATATGTCAAAACTTTAAACGCGTTTTTCTCAAAATGACATTTTTCAAAACGGTGGGCAGTCTAGCTCGAACAGTTTTGATCGGATTTACTTCGGCCGATGTTTTTTTTATCGTCATTTACTAATGCTTTGGAGTACGTAGCGGATTTTTTGAAAAAATTTAGCCCTAAAAATCGACCTTTTCCTTCAAATAGCTGCCAAATCCACAAAAACGAATATTTTTAAAATATCCTACGTACTCTAAAGCTAAATCTATCACAGGTTCAGAAAAAATTTAAGTTTTTGTTGGCATGTACAGTCAACAAATTGAAACTTTTTTTTAAGTATAAATATATTTTCGTATACTTAAAAAGTTAACAAATAAAGTCCCCGAAACCAAATTTTGATTACTTTATTCCTGTAACTTAAAAAAGTTCATGAAAAACAGGTTCAAAACAGAACTTAAAGATGTCACTCCCCCTTAAATATTTCATTAAAATTTTTATTAATTAAAATATTAAATTTAAAAAACCGATAGTATAGCTCGGGCGGTGAAGCATCATGGCTTGCGTTTACCGAGGTTAAGCACATCCAAGCACGGTCAGTATTTGGATGCGTGACCGCCTCGGTACCCGACATAGCCCTGGTGTTTTCGCTGCAATCGAGATATACTAAGCGGGAGGTTTGACGTCGAGGATATGTTTGGGCATTTGGATGACTATTTAAATGTACATTCATGACTCGACAGTCAATAAACCGTCTGTATTCAGTAGAGGTTTTCCGTAGTTTCCCTCTACTCTGATCAAGAAAGGGTTAGACAAATGCAAATACTTCTAATAAAAGTCGGCTACGGACGCTAAATATGATATTGAGGTTAGAATCAAAAAATTGAAAATAGTGGATAAAAAAATATATAAAATAGTAATTTCGCTTGAATCTTGTTTTTTGAGATCGTTAAATATGATTTTGAGGTTAGAATTAAAAAATTCAAAATGGTGGATAAATTATGTTTTTTTGGAGTCGCTAAATACGATTTTGAGGTTAGAATAAAAAAAATTCAAAATGGTTAATCCAGTAAGGCGGATAAAAAAATTTTGTTTAAATTAATATACTTTTATTTTTAGGCTCAACTCAGACATGGGTTTCGTAGGCAATACACCTTCCACCCTGCACACTTTGTTGATTTTATTTTTATTAACATAGAGCCTACAAATTTCAACCTATTTTGACATTCTTGGTATTATGTTAAAGATGATAGAATTCTGCATAATGCCTTTAATTTTGTTCTTGAAAAAAAATTTTTCAATTATTTAAACAATTTTGATAAACAATTTTAATGATTGTAGTTCCTCATCACAAAATTAATAACATATAGAGAGAAATGTGCAATATTATAAGTCCAGGTATTGTTAAAATAATTTACAATGTCTGATAACAACAATTTTGTAAATTTGTTAACTAACAATAGTTTCAATATTGCTAGTATTTACGTTAAATAAAAATATGAGAGAAATAATTAAAAAATAAAGAAAAGAGCTGTAAATAGACTGGGTAAAAATAACAAAAAATATTTTGTTTATATAAAATTGTTATTGAATATATAAAAATTATTAAATTAATTATTGATTTTGTTAAATATTATAAAAATACATTATCTTTAAAAAGAACTTAAAGCAAATCTAAATCTACCCAAACATGTAAAAGCAGCAATACTATGTATTTGTTAATTAAGGATTGTTTTAACAATGCTATGTGTAAAAATTAATTAAAGTAAGTATTAATCGTTTACCTTGACTAATAATATTGCACATTTCTCTCCATATGTTTTTAATTTCGTAATGAGGAACTAAAATCAATAAAATTGTTTAAACAATTAAAAATATTTTTTTAAATCCTTAGCGGATGGGTCCAACGCGTTTTGAACGGAATAGCATTGAAACACCGTTGGGAACACAACGGTCACTAAAAATGTTATTTAAACAATAAAATATGATAAAGTATTTATTGGGATTTGTAGAAAAAGTGTTCATGAGTAATTTAAGACCTTATTTGTATCAATTTAATACGAAATAAGTGAAATAAAAGATAAAATATGGAGCACTATTATATTAGGATATTCTGTCAAATTTTTATATAATTCAATTAAAAATGTTTTAGATATGATTTTTTAATAAGAAAAAAATAGTGAAAAAGTATTAATTTATTATTTTAAAGCATTTGAAAGTGTAATAAATAGGGAAAATTAATGTGTTTATTGTTTACTTTTTGTGTGTATTGGACAACGTTTATCGACAGCAAGTTACAGGTTACACCGATGAAC